CCTCTGCCCCCGTGTCCCCCCTCCCCCCCCGTGTCCCCTCTTGCCCCTTCGTGTCCGTTCTGTCCCCTCTTCCCCCTTCGTGTCTCCTCCCCAACCCTGTGTCCCCATCCTGACCCTGGCATCTTCCTCTGCCTCCTGTCTCTGTGTCCCCCCACTGTCCCTGGCCATGGGCGAGCCCATGCTGTGGGGTCTGTGGGAGACATGTCATGCCTGCAGGGCACAGGGTGACAGTGGGGATAGTCATGGCTAGGGGGGACAGGTCCTGGCTGTAGGGACAGGTCATGGCTGTGAGAGATGGGTTGTGGCTGTGGTGGACAGTGGCCACAGAGATTGCGGAAGGGCTGGGGATGTGAAGGCCGTAGCGGGAGGACAGCCCATGGCGGTGGGGACAGGCTGTGGCAGCAGGGATAGGCCATGGAGGCAAGGGATGGGTTGTGGCGGTTGGGGACAGCTTGAGGTTATGGGAGCAGGACTAACCATTGAGAACAGACTGTGGCTGTGGAGCACAGGTGACCATGGGAGGATAGACCGTGGTGGTGGCACGACAGCAACCTGTGGGGACAATCGTGGCAGTGGGCCCTGGGGGAGCAGAAAGGGTCATTGTGGTGCTGGGGTGACGGCCATGGTCTCTGCCCAGCCCCACTATGGGGGTCCAGGGTCTCCTGTCACCACAAGGGGAGTTGCTGCCTGGTGCTCGACTGGTCCTACCATGCCCTGGGTCTCTGCATGGGACCATCTGCTGGCTGTGCCTTCAGGACCACCCTGGGGCCACCATGGCCTGCGGCAGTGCCCGTTGAGCAGTGCCGGACTCTGTTCTCCCCTCAAGCTCCTGCACATAGTTGATTTCCCAAGTTTTTTTCCCCTCTCCGGTCCAAAGGTGACCCCATGGCCTTGGCAGGGCTGAGAGCACCTAGTGCTCCTAGAGGCCTTGGGAACAAATGAGGAGTGTGAAGTCCTCTCGCAGCAGCAAGGCAGTTTCCTCCAAGCTGATGCTCTGGTTTTGGCCATCCTGAGCCAGAGCCGCAGGCAGCAGGACTGAGCTCCCCCGCCACGAGCTCTCTGGATAGACCCAACATCGCTGCCCCACGGAGCAGCAGGGCTGGCTCTGCACAGGACACCATGACCCTGCAGCTCCCACCCACCCGCAACCTGCCCGGGAATGACTGGAGGGTTGGACAGAGCTGAGGGTGTTCCTTGGGCACGAGCAGGGAAAAGCTCCTGTCCCTCTCCAAGGAAAGTGCTGCCTTCTTCTTAACAACCAGACATGCTATGGGAAGGTCACTTGTACAGGATGCTGCACACACTGGGGACAGAGCCAGGTGGAGGGGGACAGCTCCTCCATGGGGGACATGGGGTTGTCACCACTGGAATGCTACCCAGGTCACATCTTCCAGAGTTACCTTCTCTGTGCTGAGCACACACGATGGGTGCAGACACAACCATGGAGCACCCAATGGCTCACGCAGGGAACGGCTCGGTGCTGCTGCCTTAGCAAGCGTCAGCACAGCTGCCAACCTCCAAGAACCACCCAAAGGCACCACAGCTGGGCTGAAGTCTTTATTTAAAAATTGAAAACACACAACATATTATACAAAAAAAAAAAAAAAAAAAACATCCTGCCTTGAAAACCAGCCTGCCCATCACCCTCCGCGCGCCAGGTGCTGGCTATGAGCTGCCTGGTGCTGCGGGAGCTGCTCGCGCCGAGGTTCCCTCACCCCGACACTGGGGAAAGTTATGAAAAGAAAGAGGAAAAGTCGCCTCCCTTAGAGAGCGCGATGGGGCCGAATCCCTCCCTCCTGCAGCCATCCCGGGAGCCGGCCCAGCTCGGACACAACCTGAGGTAGTTGGGGGTTACCTGCAAAAGCCGGACCCCAGAAACAGGTGGGCGGGGGGTGTGCGGACCACCCAAG